TATCATCCTTTTAATCAATGGTCTCATCATTACCTCTTCTACATGTTGCCACTAAACTCATCCTACAAGTCTACTTCTTCCTAATATCCAAGAAACCTATCATGGCTCCTTATCACTTATAAGATGAAATTCTGGACTAAACAAAACCTTTTAAGTCACTCTCCACAGTACCTAATTTTTCATTCTTTTATTTGCCTGTGGATAGCCTTGACTCTGGCCTTGCCAACCTGTTCATTCCTTGCTTTACAGGCAGCATGGTATAAGCAGAAGTATGGACTTCAGAATTAGACTTGAATTTGAATCCCTGCTTTGCCACTTATCTGCTATAACCTTTCACACATCAACCTCCTTGCTGAGGTAATCTTTGCCCCCAAATCAAGTTCACATCAATGTTCAAAGTGATGATACATTTACCTGTGACTTGCCATTTTACCTTGGTCTTATACTTCTCTGACTTTAATCACCTGAACCTTGGGTTCCAATTCCAATTTTCCAGACTCCCAATTTTTAAATATCTCTACCTCAGGCAGCCATAGTCCACACCCTTTGTCTTTTCTGATCTGTTACTCACTTATCCTCTATTAACCACTTTTCCCTGACTATTGCTTATTTCTTCTGGTTTCAATATCCATATGGCGAGCTTGACTTTGATGTTAATAAATGTGCGTTATGGTACCACAGAAGCCAAATAAGTGAAGACAAGGTTAAAATAGAGCAGGTGAGCTTTCATTTGGATGTAATCACAAATTCAACTCCTGAGATGAAACAACATTACTATGACACACTGAAGGGAGCCACAGGTACTCTTCCCTCGCATATGTCAATAAACGGTAGTGTCTACTGGGAGACTCACAGGTACCTGCCCAAAGGACTTCTCCAAATGCTCGCTCTCTAAAACCAAACGCAGACCGACTAGAAGCTGTTCTGCTTCTCTAACTCTCCAGGAAAGTCACTTCTAAGACTCCGACTACTTTCAAAACCTATGTTGAGTCTCTTCCCCTACTTCTTCTTACTTTATGCATGGCTTACAGCATAGCAGGTATGGAAAGGAATCAACACGTAAGGCTTCCTCCCTACACAAAGATTCTCTAAACTAAAGTCCCATTAGATCCTAGGCTGACAGGACAAGTGCGAGCTACAAAAGCTATACAAAGAGCTAGCAAACAAGATGGATAAGTGAGTATTAATATGTGAAGTCAAAGGAAAGGAAAATTTTCATTATTGTTTAAATAATGAAGGTGTTAATACACTGCTGTTATCTAGCCTTCACACTTTGGTGTCCTCCCAACAACTCAAATATTTCTAAAAACTACCTGAAAGGATGATCGTTATGTAGACCTATTCACATTATCACATCATTACTATTTCTGCACACTGAAGACAAGGACTAAAGCGCTCATTTGCAAGAACAAGGAGTTCCATCTCCAGGGGCTACTGCTCTTTTCATCAGAGAAGGAAGTCAGAAGTCACTTGTGAGCAGAGGGCTGATGGATATGATCCTGACTAGAGCTCAAAGAACTTGGAATATGCAATAGCAATTCCAACCATTTTCTTCTCCTGGTAGAAATTAGAAACGAAAAGCTTATTGCCATTCTTGTTCAAAAAGTTGAGGATAGAAAGGAGTCTAGAGTCTAAATAATGGTTTTAGAATTGGAAAGAAGTTGGAAAGTAGCTCTTCTGCTTATGGGGCTGGTATGTATTTCTTCACTGAAATCATCTGGAAACATTGGGGATACTGTCTGGATAAGAATGTCTTAACAAATACCTGTAGAATCCCCCCCTCAAGATCCAAAAGTCAATTTTTAAAGCAATCATAGCAACTAAGGTAGACATTCCTTACCAGATGGTCCAAACAAAAGAATCAACTTATGGTGAAATTTAATGGTATTTTCATTGTCAGAAAGCCAAGTGAAAGACTTTAGAATGAGAAGATTTTACGTGCACAGCATTCAATCTCTTGGGTGAAGAGGCAAAGAGAGAAATTAAAGTGATGCTAGCGCTACAAATGAATAAAGACAGATTATGAAACAAGTGAGAAGCTTAGAACTTCCTGTTGGGATTTCACAAGAGCTGCAGAACACAGCATGCAAACAGCAGCTCTGGACATGCTGAGCAAATCCCCGACAAGTCACCGGATCACCTCCTCACACCACAGCCCTGCTTCACGTTCTGCCACCTTCTGCGGCGCGGGAAAGAAAGACGTTTTTGTGGCATATGTTTCACAGAAATAAACACATCAACTGTTTCTGGTTTTCTGAGGCCCATGATAATACTAAAAATAAAGCAGTAGGGATAAAATTGTATAGAAAAACACGGACTAGAAAAGCGATTTTTAATTTATTCCACTTACATTTTCCTTTTTATGTATATGTACCAGAGTGATATATGATAAAAAGTTATGTCTGAAAAGCAAATGTAAAAAATACAAGTGACTAGTGACAGCTCAGAAAACCAGACTGATTAGATCAACTTTTGAAGCAAACAGTTTGTTCAATAACAATGAGAATTTTTTCCCCCTCAGTTTATATGAATATTTTATATACTATTGACACTATGAAGAAAGTCCAGAAGATACGAAAACTGTGTTTCAGTAGATGGTTTCTTTTGTTTAAATGCTCGCAACTTTTTAAACTAGTAAAATCAAACACACAAAATCCCCTAAATTTTAGTAGTATTCAGCTTAATAGGAAAAAAACGTAATGTATTTTAAGGTAAATTATGACGCCTATATATTACTTGGTTGACTTATATGGAATAAATACCACTTTAGCATTAAATAGACTGAAGAAAGGGCCGAGAGTGGGGTAACACTGTGTGTGAGCCTGAGAATCAGACTGAGACTAGCTATGTGACTTTGAGCAAGTTACTTAACTGCTTCTCAGTCTGTTACCTCTTCTACAAAATGCAGATGATAAAAATATCTGCCTCATATGGCTATTGTTAGGATTAAATGAGTTAATGCAGTAAAGCACAGTGTAGTATTTGGCAGATAACAGAAGTCCAAAAATGTTAGCTATTCTTTCTCACTAAATTTTATAAATAAATTAAATGACATTATATTTCTAACATAGAACATTATGTTTCTAAACAAAATTATGTTAGGTTTGTAAAGGGCAGAAAAAGGCATGTTTTCAATTTTTTCCCTACTCCACACTAAAAACAAAAAAAGAATAAAGTACTCTAAATCTCGCATCACTCAAAATTCCACACATTTTACCACCATGATGGAGTTGATAATTTTTCTTTCACTCGTAACACAGAGCAGACTCACAATTCTAGGTCAAATCAAATGTTTAAATCTGTGCATTAGTCTGTCTCTTGTTAGCAGATTATAGCTCAGGATAATGCTTCTGGAGTTCTCCACTTGTATGTTATATTTAAATGAAGCTACTCATCCCGTGTTAGCAGAATCCCCAACAGGAACAGTACCACTACTTGATCATAATACCAACATTCTGACCGAACAATCTTTCTAATACTCCAGGGTATTCCAAGGAAACTAGGTCAGGATATGACAAGACAGCTCATTTTGATACTACACCATTCCCAAAGGCAATAACACATCAATACCTTTTTTTTTTTTGGTATACTTATCACAAATGACACCTATGGACAACTGCCAAAAAAATCTAGGAATTCTGTGACTAGAAGTCACAGGATTAACTTCTTTCACAAGGAAAAACTAGAGGCCTCTTCAGGGATAGTACTATGCATCTGTTATAGATTCAGTGTGGTAGGCAGACTAATGATCCTACCCAAAAATATCTACAAACTAATCTCTGGAATCTGCGAATATGTTTATGTTACCTCACATAGCAAAAGTGACTTTGCAGATGTGATTAAGTTAAGGATCTTAGATGGGGAGATTATCATGGATTATCTCCATGTAGGTGGGTCCATGTCTTCACACTGGTCCTTAAAAGCAGAGAAGGCTGTGACTATGGAAGGAGGGTCAGAGAGATGCTATGCTGCTGGCTTTGAAGATGGAGGAAGGAGTCATAAGCCAAGGAATGTGAGTGGCCTTTAGGAGCTGGAAAAGGAAACAGATTCTCCCCTAAAGCTCCAGAAAGGAACACAGCCCTGCCAACACCTTGATTTTAGCCCAGTGAGAATCACGCCAGACTTCTAATGTACAGGACTGTAAGATAATAAATCTATGTTGTTTTAAGCCACTAAATTTGTGGTAATTTGTCACAGCAACAATAGAAAACTAATATAGTCAGTATTCCCATGAACTTATACACTGAAATTTCAGGATCCAAATTATATTTTAACTACCATTTACTGTTTAAAAATACAGTGTTTTGGAGTAGGTCTCACTAAATTAATTAAACTTTCAAAATGTAGAAAAGAGGTTTTATTTATTTTTTTGTGAGGAAGATCAGCCCTGAGCTAACATCCATGCCAATCCTCCTCTTTTTGCTGAGGAAGACTGGCCCTGGGCTAACATCTGTGCCCATCTTCCTCCACTTTTTATATGGGATGCCGCCACAGCATGCCCTGACAAGTGGTGCACCGGTGCGTGCCCGGGATCCGAACCCAGGCTGCCTGCAGTGGAGCGCACGCACTTAACTGCTACACCACCAGGCCGGCCCCGAAAAGAGGTTTTAAAACCAGCTTTTAAGAGTTACTAGCACTGGCCTTTAGAGCTAAGATTACTTCATTCAAATACCATAGCTAGTGAATGTTAAACACTTAATATAGCATCTTTTTTTTCCCTGAAGACAATTACAAACCAAACTCTAAAGATCACCTACAATGGTTTATCTAAGAAGAAAATTAGATATTTTATTTCATACACTCTCATATCCTGCCTCTATAAAAGGGCAATTCATTTCACCAACACATTAGTATAAATGCCTTTTTCTAACTTGTTTAAAGCTCTGAGCTTGTTATATGTCCGCCCTCCACCAGTATATCATTCTTAAAGATTAATTCCTGATTAAAATCAGCAGTGAAGAATTTTTGAGGTCAATACCAAAACCGCAGCTCCCACATACCTAAGTTCATCCATTTCCCTCTTCTTCTTCATCTCTTCCTTTTCTCTCCTTTTCATTTCCTGAATTTGGGCTTTTTTCTCATTCCTCTCTTCACGGTCTCTGCATTCTTTCTCTGCTGCTAGGTCTGGGAACCGCTCCATTTTGGTCTTTTCTAATCGGTTCAGGATCTCATTCACTTTCTTCTCCACTGTCACAATTTTCACCTTTGAGGGAGATAGGAGAAGAAATATTGAATCTTTATTATATGTTTTTTCCCCCAGAACAGGGTAGAGGCTTTCCAGGGGCTTAGCAACCCAGCTTAATTCCCTTTAGAAAACATACATCATGCTGAGCCCTCAACAACAAAGGTGTTAGACAGAAAAGTCGGATACTCCACTCAGCATCAGAACTCCGCCTCCTCCAGTGGTGCAGAACACTTACATCCTTTTGCCTGTGAAAGCCTATCTGTCCCACATCCATGTCAGCTGTTTTCTTCAGGTTAGACCACGGTGTATATACCACATTAACGTTGTTCATCTTGCAGCCTGCCAAGAGAGACTGTCTTCAACATGCAGGCAGGATGACACTGAGCAAGGCGTTCCCTTACCCACTGGCAAATTAGCACAATCCAACAAAGGAAAAGGCTTAGAATGAACAAGCCATCAGGTGTTTCAGACCACAAAATACTTTTTTAAAAAACCACCCACAAAAGGCAATGGTAAAGCTGACAACACAATCCAAGCAAAAGTATTACGATGGAAAGCAGGGGTCCATGGATTCGCTTCAGGGACTTCTGAGACTTCCTAAAATTGAGCACAAAATTTACTAGACGTGCTTTTTAAAAAGAAAAGGACCAAACAGGTTTCCTCAGATTCTCAAAGGAGTACTTGATCCAAAAAAGGTTAAGCAGCAAGATAAAGCAAAAAGCACTGGCCTGGGATGCAAGAGACCCGCACTCTACCCTGGCACTATCACAAACCAGCTGTGTCACTTTGGGAACATCCCCATGGCTCTTGGAATCTCATCTGAAACATGAGGAAATTGGACTCGTTTAGTAGCGTTTTTGTTTTTTGTTTCTTTTAGCAGTGGAACCCCTTTTACCAAAGAAGACATATCAAAGTAATCAAAGCAGAGAAGCCCTGGATGAATGGGGTTCCAGGTACCCTGTTCATTTCTCCTCCTATCCCCTCGTTCCCCTCTACCCCTGACAGCCTCCCAGGCAGCTCCAAGAATCACAGTTAAATCATTGGTCCAACACTCTTTAAGGCCCTTTCAAATCAGATGGCAATATATTTTGATGTTTATTAAATCACCATGTACACTGGAGAAATCTGGTGAACACCACCTTACCTAAGTGATCAAAATTAACATCAACAAAAATGAGGCAAAACAGCACCACGTGCCTCTGGACTGTAACGCACAAGACTTCACTTATGTGGTACTCCTGCCTGAAAACACATAATGTGATCCTACTCAAGAGGAAGCATCATACCAACCCAAATTGTGGGATTTTCTACAACTGGTCTCCACTCTAAAAGTGTAAAAGACAAAGAAGTATCTCCAGATTAAAGGAGACTAGAGAGACATGACAAGTAAATATAACACATGATCCTGGATCAGAAAAAATTCTATAAAGGAACGGTAGTGGAACAACTGGCAAAACTTATATACCAACTGTATATCAGATAACAGTATCCTATCCATGTTAAATTTCCTGAATTTGATCATTGTAACGCAGTTACCTACAACAATGTCCTTTTTCTTAGGACATGCTGAAGGGTCGTGATGTCTAGGATTTTCTTTCAAATGGTTCAGCTAATAAAGTTATCATGAGTATGTTAAAGAGAGAAAGCAAATAAATACGGAAAAATTATTGAATCTAAATGAAGGGCATATGAGAGCTGTATTTTTCTTGCAACTTTTCTGTAGGTTTGCCTTTTTTTTCAAAATTAAGTTTTTAAAAAACCTCCACGTACAAGGCACTGTGGGAGATACTAACATGGATCAGACAAGGGATCCTGCCTACCAGGACTAAAGGATGGCAGATAAGTACATACATAACTTCAACTAAAAGTAGAACTCGTCAAATGACACTGGAAAGGTAGAGGGAAAGTGCTAATGTGGTTCAGAGACGGCAGGGGTCACTCAAAGCTGGAGGAAGGGAAAGGCTCTATGGGAGAGGTTAACATAGCTTAGTGGTTAAGACAGAAGACTTTAAAGTCAGACTGTCTGACTTCAAATGCAGCCTCTACCACACTTCAGACCTCTGCGACCTTGGGCAAGTTCCTTAATTCTCTTCAAGCTCAGCTTCCTCATCTAAAAAATGAAAATAATATCCAATTCAGTAGGGCTGATAAGTGAAATAATTCGTAAAGATTTTAGCACAGTGTCAGGCATGTAATTAACATGCAATGTCAGCTATTACTACTATTACTACAACTACTATGTGGACCTTAAAACTTAGCTTGGATCTGGACATGTGATGAGTGAGGAGGACAAAACTGAGGGCAGAGGCAACAATATAAGCAAAGGCACAAGGCAGGAAAACAGCAAATATGTGCTTTGGCTGGAGTGTGAAACATGAGAAGGGAAAAGAAGTCTGTAGTCAGATCAGAGATGCGTAAATGCCATCTTAAGAAGTTTGGACTCAACTGTATAGACAAGGTGGGGCGTGTCACAGAAAGGTCTAAGCTCTTAGAAAGTTTTATCTTGCAAGAGATTATAAAATGAAGATAGAACAGGTTGACCAGATTCTATTACAACAAGCGAGTTTAACCACAACTCCCTTGATTTTGAGCACTGAAGGTGGTCAACCAGGGAGGAAAATACTTGAACTCCACAGTGACGCCAATGGAGCGTACTCAGCAAATCTCACAGCAAAGATAATCTTCTTCACTCCTCAGCATCCTCTGCTATCGACTCACGAGTGAGACTCTTAGCTCCATATTCTGCTAAGTGAACTATCACTGTGGAAGGCTGAAAAGGAGAGAAGAGTAATTCGGTGTCATGACTCTTCCCTCCTCTTTCCTGTTTCCCCTAGAACTAGTAAACTACAAAGAGATTAAGAAGAAAGAGGCGGGGCCAAGAATAGAGTCCAAAGCTCTTTTAATAAAGTCACATCTGCTAGCCAGGGGCATGGGAAGTGGACAAGAATGTATGAAAGAGGTTGCAACACACAAATAAAGAGCATAATGATTGTTTTAATTTTTATTATTTTTATTTCAATAACTGAAGATCTTAAGTGGAAATCTTAAAAACTCTGTTCTACTCATAAAAATGGAACTTCCTAAAACTAACTGCAATTTAATGATTTATGGAGTTGAAAATCAGTGGCTTTACAAGACACTTTCTTTGGCTAGGTATCTGACTCATTAAAGCTGCCAGAGTTAGATTCAGGAAATGCAGTCTAAGTGATGGGGAAGGGGGTACACTGGCTAGCTCCTGTCCTGTAATCACCAATCTCTGGTATCTGCTTTCGGCTATGTGTCTGCCCCATGCTTTTTTTTTTTTTTTAATAAAATTTTTTTTTAAATTTTATTTATTTATTTTTTTCCCCCAAAGCCCCAGTAGATAGTTGTATGTCATAGCTGCACATCCTTCTAGTTGCTGTATGTGGCACGCGGCCTCAGTATGGCCGAAGAAGCAGTGCGTCGGTGCGCGCTCGGGATCTGAACCCAGGCCACCAGCAGCGGAGCGCACGCACTTAACCACTAAGCCACGGGGCCGGCCCTACCCCATGCTTATCGTCTACCCAAACCACATTTCTTTCCAACCTTCTGGATCATCTCCCAACTTCATATCGAACCAGAGAAGGAAAGAAAGAAAAAGTAGGAAAGAGTGGTTTGGAGACTTGAGTTCTAAAATCTAATGACAAGGGAAATAAAGACATTGAACAACACTTAAAATAAGGCCATGAGACACATCTCTTGCTTAGCTATTAACAATTTCCAAAAAAGTCTTTCTACAAATAACCTTAAGGGTAGGCAGGTCTAGACAACCTTCTATTCAAGGTAAGGAAAACAGGGTAAAAAGAGTTGATATACGGCCATGAACATTAGAAGGGTAGGGAGACTAGTTTTCAGTTCTTTTGTAGGTAGCAGAACTGCCATCTTAAAGAACAAAACAGGGAAAGGCATATTACATGTTATCCCTTTGACTCAAGCCAAAGGCAATTAACATGTTCTTTAAAATGTAATCCATTTCAGACACAGAGAAATTGGTGCTAATTCTGAGAACACCTCTAGGTAAACTGACCTTGAATGCTATTGGCCTTCACAAGATGGGCACAGTCCATCAGTACTTCCTTTGGAATGTCTTCTATCTTCTCCCCCTGAAACAAAAAAATAAACCAAATGGTCCACTACCTTGTTACTGACTGATACTGGAGCACAGATAAGGCTTTGCTGCCTTACTAAGCACAATTTTATTAAAAGCAAGGGCTCTTCAATTGTATTTCAAAACATTGAAAAATGAAGTCCATTATGGGAATGTTTATTTAAACTAAGAGCAGGCAGTAACATGGAAAATACCGATACTTAATAAGTGAAAAAAAACCCAAAAACAACAGTATGAAGGAAAACCACCAAAATATTAACTGTAATTATGTCTGAGTAATTTTTCCCTCTTTCTTCTCATTCTTACTTCCAGAACCTTGTGGAGAAATGGTGCCTATTTTTGACAATTGGAACTCTTCTTAGCTGAGGTCCCCATGACCTTCCTCTCAAAGAGACATCTTATAGCTTTGGGTCTCAAACATCTGGTAGGTCATCTGTCCTTAGCTTTAATCAGGAAGCAAGCTCTTGGTGTGTTAGATATAATGATCCACCATAAGGAAGAAATAATATTGATTTATTTTCTCTACAGATACTGTATCAAAGTCAAAGCTGAATAAGCAAAGCCATTCCAAAAGAATAAAAATAGCTCAGAGGCAAAGGCGAGTGGAAATCATCTCAGCACTGGCTCTTTCTACACATGGGATTACAGAAGCACCTCTGTCTGGGAATAAATGTTCTGCCTACCTAAATATTTGAGATAAACTAAGTTTATTCTATAAGGTTTCTGAATTTTTTCCTTATTTTAAATGTTTTAAATGGGAATCTCTCAAATACATAAATTTTAACCAAAAAATAAGTGATTTAAGTTGTCACTACTTAACAACATATCTCATCCCGTGCAATTCCCTGACCACTTAAATAGAGGATTCTGAATTTAACATCTTGATAACACAATGTTATCATTATGAGTATCAGCCATTACACTAGGCTATAATATAGTGATAGAGATGCCTTCGGAGGCTTCTAAAATACACTGAAGCTGATTGACCCTATACTAAATAAATCAAAACAAGTAAGCAAAAAACAAAAAAACAGCTATCACTTTTTGAGTACCCACCACGTGCCAGGTAGTACGTAAATAGTCATAACGAAATGGAAAGTATTATCCTCACTCTGCCAATGAAGAAAATGAAGCTTAGTGAGGGCAAGTAACCGGACCAAGGGCACCCCAATCTAGTAAATGATAGAACTGAGAGACAAACCCAGGACTAAATCTGTGCTCTAACAGCTGGCCCCAGAGTATGGCACTTATGGAGTTCTTGTAGAAACGTAGTTTCCTGGTCCTTGATATCAGGCTATGTCCCAATATCCCTTCTTACCTGTGGCTGTCACTATTCCTGAAGTAATCTCCTTTTTCTATTTTGCTACTTCTAATATAATATGAACAGAGCCCCCCCCCCCCCCAAATCATTCAGTTTAGCATTATGCATGGTCAGAGTAAATAACTCTGAGTGGAGAGTCTATGGTACTCTCATAAAGGTCAGATTTTGATTGTGGGCTTTGTGCCATCTCTGTTAATGAGATAAGAAAACTCTAGATAAGTGAGATTTTTCTATGGGTTTTCAAAAATCAAAGAAGCATAGGAAAGAACACTGCTGAAAATCTATGATGTCCAAGGTTTGGGCTGAATTCAACCGAATTCAACAAAAAAGAATGAACACATATAGTGCTTAGCACATGCCAGGCATTATTCTAAGTGCTTCAGTTACGCTAGCTCAGTTAATCCTCACAATGACCCAAGAAGACAGGTACTCTTAGGTCCCTTTACAGATGAGGGACTGGGCACAGTTAAGTTACTCGCTCAAAGTCACACAGCTAGCAAGCAGCAGTCTGGCTCCAGAGTCTGGGTTCTGAACCACTTAGTCTTACTGCATCTCTAACACTTACTTGGTACCTACTAAGTACAGAGGGCTATGCTGTTTACTGCAGGAGATCGATCAGGTAAAAGTTCCTTAAGGAGCACATATTTTTATTGAGCACATTATGTGCTTCAAAAAGAAAATGAAATTAAACCTCTATTCAAACAAGTAGCAACTGGTGGTAATGTGAACTTGGGACTACCACCATTATTTCCATTTCTGACAGAGAAGAATCCAAAGGAAAAAGTTTAATCTGAACCAAAAGGAAACTTGCTAACACCATACTCTATTTTCTCTAAACTTAAAATAGTTCCAAAATGGCAAGAAGTTGCCTAGGAGAAATCAGAAGTTTGTTCCAGCACAGAGTTCACCATCTTCTTCTTCTTTACAATATAGTTTTCAAAAGCATAAATAGTATAAGTAAAGATGGAGCATGATGTTTAACCTTGCTAGTAAATCAAGAAGTGAATATTATAACTATAATGAAGTACCATCTTGTATTTACCGACATGTCAAAAGGTTGCTTTTTTTTTTAAGTTATAAAATCCCAATAAGTGTTTGGAAAACCTATATATAGCAGATAGCATTTTAAACTAGCACAATACTTTCAGAGGGTAATCTGGCATAAAAGGAGTTACCAAACTGTTTATATCTTCTGACTCAGTAATCCCATTTCTGAGAATTACTCTAAAAAAATAATTCAAAAGAAATATCCTAGTTCATAAAAAGATATTTCTTGTTGGGGATTCATAATGCCTAAAACTATAAACAACCTAAATTCTGACAAGAGAGCTTTCATATTAATTGTGGCATATTATCAACTCAAAGCAGCCAGCCAAAATAATAAATATGAAAACAACAGTTACATAAAAAAATTTATAAACTGTCACTTCAGAAAGTAATACAGGGGCCGACATGGTGGTGGTGTGGTTAAGTTCACATGCTCCACTTCGGTGGCTCCAGGTTTGCAGGTTCAGATCCCGGGCACGGATCTATGCACCTGCTCATCAAGCCATGCTGTGGCAGCGCCCCACATACAAAAATAGAGGAAGATGGGCACAGATGTTAGCTCAGTGACAATCTTCCTCAAGCAAAAAGAGGAAGACTGGCAACAGATGTTAGCTCAGGGCCAATCTTGCTCACGAAAAAAAAAAAAAAGTAATACAATCAACCAGGGTATGACAGGATGGAATGTAGACTGAGACAAAAGAATCTAACTGTATTATAAGTATATGACATAACATCACCAAAAAGCATGGGGGGGATAAAGCAGCTTACAAGTAACTTTGGAAAATAGTGTTTTGACTGGAAACTATATGGCAAAAAGACATAAATACTATACTTTAGTTGATAAAGTTGTTTCTTATGGGGATACAGGTTAACAAATCTGAAACCACTTACACATATACCGGAGTCAAATAAATAAGCAAATGGATGGTGAATGGTGGGAGCCAGGCCTCTCACTGTCTGAGAAGGAAGTTATAGATAAGCAAGGAGGAAAGGCTAAAATGACCCCTGTAGTAATGGATTAGTCAGAGACATCAGTATGAGTTTGTATTTAGCTAATGTAGATACAGATGGGGAGACACAGAAACAATCATTCATGTGAGTGCATACACGGGTTAGTATACATACATATATTTCCTAGCTTTGCCAGGTGAGAGGGCCTAGAAGCAATGACCACACGCAGAGTCCAGATTGTGGTTTCTAAATACCATTCCCCAACAAAAGAAACCAGGGTTCCTTGGAGAAATGGCTGATTGTAGGGCCCGGGCAGGGAAAATACAAGATGAACCTAGAGCATCTTGTAGTACTAGAAAGGAAGTACTCAAAAAACAAAAGGACAGAGCATGTCAAAGGAACACAGGAGACATGTTGACAAGAGCTCCAGCCAAAGCTAGAATAATTTCAGCAACAAAATAACATAGTACAAAATCAATACATGAATCTATACCGATGCAAATAAATAACTGAATAAATAAATGTAGAAGAGACGAATCTTCCTCACAGAAGAATTCCAAACAATATATGCAGATATTCCCCACTCCAGGAAGTGGAGCTTAATTCCATCCCCTCTCTCTGAGTATGGGCTGGACTTAGTGGCTTCCTTCCAAATAACAGAGGATGGAATGGAGGAGAAAGCAACCCTACAGTGGAGAAACCTGGCAGACATTACTCTGGCCCAGAGATCAAGGTTACCATCATCAGTGATAAATCCTGTTAATACATGTACCCCTGATGTGATGTGATGAGAACGGCATTTCACCTTTGTGCTACTCTTCCCCCAAAACCCATAACTCCAGTCTAGTCATGAGAAAAACAGATAAACCCAAGTTGAGTGACATTCTATAAAATATGTGACCAGTACTTCTCAAATTGTCAAGGTCATGAAAAACAAGAGAAAGAATGAGAAACCGCCACAGACCAGACACTAGGCAGACACGATAAGTAAATGCAACGTGGGACTCTGGACTGGATCTGGAACAGAAAGAGGACATTAATGGAAAAGCTGGTGAACTCCAAACAGAGTCTGGAGTTTAGTCAACAGTAACGGACCAGTGTTGGTTTCTTAGTCCTGACAAATCTACCAGGGTAACATAAGATGTTAACAATAAGGGGAACTGGGTGTGAGGTATATGAGAACTCTGTACTCTCTTTGCAACTTTTCTGTAAATCTAAAATCACTCCAAAATAAAACATTAAAAATAAAAGCAATACACATAACAAGTATATATACTCTATGACTTAACTATACAAAATATAACATATGGATGTAAAGACAGATTGGAAAAACAGTGGTTTATGTTATGAGGGAACATTAAATTTTTTTCCTTTACTACTATATTGCTGTTTTAACCTTCCCAAAGCCCCGATAACTGGGAACATCTGCCCTTGGCGAAGGAGGAGAATCACATGAATCTGAGAAAAAGGAACCACAACATGATCTCCACTGGAGAAGACAGAATCCAGTAGTATCAACTGAAAGGAAGGGGAGAGAAAGCAGAGGTGACATACAACACACCTGAACTGGCAGGACAAGGCAGTGTTTCTAGCTGGGAAATATGCACTGCATCCCCTTCCAAATCTTGATTTCCCTAAGTGATTTTCTGGGTCAGGAGGAAGACATCTCTTCATCTGCGAATTTTTAGACTTCTGTACATATTTATCACCTTAAGCAATTTAATTGCAAAAAAAGGATAGAGTACAAGAAATGATGTTCATGACTAAAGAAAAAGTCACAAATCCATGTTTAAATCTAGTTACCTTATGTAATCGAAGGTATACATGAGCCGAAGAGAGTTTGTCCACATGAAACCTACAAAGAAGGAAAACCACTTTTAGCAAGAGGTACAAGACAACCATTTCCTCAGGCCACTTGCATTTAAAGCATTCCAATCCAAAAAGTATTAACTCAGTGCCTACCACATGCTAAGCACCATGGGGAGTATAAAACACAGTCACCACCTCCCAAGGGCTCACTATTAACTGGGAGAGGTAAGATAAACACGGAAAGTTCTGCAGCTGTGTGAGACTAAGTGCCAAGAGGAGTACTAAAGACATTAAATGTGGGCCGGCCCCGTGGCTTAGCGGTTAAGTGCGTGCGCTCCGCTGCCGGCGGCCCGGGTTCGGATCCCGGGTGCGCACTGAGGCACCGCTCCTCCAGCCATGCTGAGGCCGCGTCCCACATGCAGCAGCTAGAAGGATGTGCAGCTATGACGGGCAACTATGTACTGGGGCTTTGGGGGAAAAATAAATAAATAAAATCTTTAAAGACATTAAATGTTAAATGCCCTGGGAAGGGTGATTTCCCAAGTGAAACAAAGCTATCAGTGACCAAAGGCTTCATTGACAAACTGAGATTTGGTGGGTCCCTGACTGAAGCACAGGACTTAGAGAAAACACAGAGAAAGGAATTTCAGGTGAGAAGAGAAGGGAATGAAAGAAGTCATCAAGACTCTAGTATTGCAAGCTTGGGAGACTTGCAGGACCACTGACAGAAATATCTCACAGTTGGAGAGGACACCAGTTTGGAGAAAAAGATGAGGGGCTTGATTTGAGACATCCTGAGTTTCAAGTGATGGCAAAACAACCCAAAGAGAATGTCAAGCACAGAGTTGGAAGACTCAGGTGAGGACTGAAGACAGTAAACCCCAACCACATCATAAAATGCATCAGGCCAATAATTCATCCAGCCTTGCATCTGACAATGGCACTAATACATGTCTCCTGGGAGAGAATGGTGATTGCCCTTTATGACACTGACCTAAAAACATTCAGAATGCCCTCCCACTTCAATGTCCTAAATTTACCTATCATCCACCAATTTAATCTCTTTAAACTTACTTCCTTTTTCGCCTAGTCCAAACATCTTGGGATATCGAGTTTTTCATATTTACAATTCAGTTGAATATGAAATTGACTTTCTCTCTTTCCAACAGCCAGAGATGCCCCCAGAATCCTAGCATCAAACAACGGTAACCCATGATTGTCACTTTGTGATTCTGTTAACTTTAGTCATCTTTTCCTTAGTTCTTACCTTTCCAGACTGAAGAATGGTCAGTAAAACCCTAAGGAGGCACCATTACATCCCATTATATATTTCTCTAGACATTTTCTTAGCATTAATGTATTTTTTAGAAGTGAAAATATTCACACATTCACATCCAGTACAAGATGTAGACAGTGTGATTCTATATAAAGGTTAAGATTATGCTGTTTCTAATGCCCTCTTTAAAGAGGTTAAGCATCTTGCTAGTCACTTTGGATAAAGAAAAAATATTTTTGGCAGTCTATGATGACTCTAGGTTTTATTCTTAAGCATAATTGATAGCCAGAAATGGACACAACATGTTAGTCTGATTTACTTTTCTCCAACTGATTCATTACTCATTTGCATTCTCATGCAAGAGATTCCTACCATTATCTTCAGCTTGTCATTTTCCACTCAGAAAATATGTTTTTTTTGCAAATCTAGAAATTATATATCATATTACCCTCTTTCAGGATCTTAGGAAAATACCCTACTAGTAAGCAAGCTCAACTGAGAGGTAACTCGTCCCATTCCAACTTGTGTCAAGCCAGTTTTCTACTTACAACTCTTTCTTACACAAACCCATAGTAGCTCGATTGTATTCTGGTTTTTCTTAAAGGTCTACGATGTAGAATTTTGTCAAAAGAAATACACAAATAATTAAATATATATCAAACGGATTTATACATAAAGTAGTCAAAGTACTGAAACACACATGGGAATATCATTGCTGATAAGCACCAAATTCAGGCTCGCAGGTAGGAGGTAAACCTCTACAAAGGGCAGAGGGAAGGCACGCAAGTATGGGGCTTTGGTTGAAATGTAAAACAAACAAACAAACAAGCCAGCTCTGTAAACTATCTTGAACAAGTTTCCTTAGAAAACCTTTCCAGGGCCGGCCCCGTGGCTTAGCGGTTAAGTGCTCGCGCTCCGCTGCTGGCAGCCTGGGTTCAGATCCCAGGTGCATACCGACGCACCGCTTCTCTGGCCATACTGAGGCCGCGTCCCACATACAGCAACTAGAAGGATGTGCAGCTATGACATACAACTATCTACTGGGGCTTTGGGGGAAAAAAATAAATAAATAAAAT